AGCAAAGAGAAATCACTGGAACCTTTCATTATTAAGTCAGATAGAGTAACCTCCCCTGAAGAAAACAAAGGGAAATCACTCTTACCTTTTTATTAATAAGCCAGATAGAGTAACCTCCCCTGAAGACAACTAAGGGAAATCACTCTAACATTAAATTATTGTCAGAGTAACCTCCCCTGAAGAAAAAGGGAAACAACTCTTACCTTTCATTATTAGGCCAGATAGAGTAACCTCCCCTGAAGAAAACAAAGGGAAATCACTCTAACCTTAAATTATTAAGTCAGATAGAGTAACCTCCCCTAATAAAAAAACAAAGGGAAACCACTCTTACCTTTCATTAATAAGCCAGAGTAACCTCCCCTGTAAAAAACAAAGGGAAATCACTCTTACCTTTCATAAATAAGCCAGATAGAGTAACCTCCCCTGAAGACAACAAAGGGAAACCACTCTTACCTTTCATTAATAAGCCAGATAGAGTAACCTCCCCTGAAGAAAACAAAGGGAAATTACTCTTACCTTTCATTAATAAGCCAGATAGAGTAACCTCCCCTGAAGACAATAAAGGGAAATCACTCTTAACCTTTCATTTATAAGCCAGATAGAGTAACCTCCCCTGAAGACAACAAAGGGAAATCACTCTTACCTTTCATTATTTAGTCAGATAGAGTAACCTCCCCTGAAGACAACAAAGGGAAACCACTCTTACCTTTCATTAATAAGCCAGATAGAGTAACCTCCCTTGAAGAAAACAAAGGGAAATCACTCTTACCTTTCATTAATAAGCCAGATTGAGTAACCTCCCCTGAAGAAAACAAAGGGAAATCACTCTAACCTTAAATTATGAAGTCAGATAGAGTAATCTTCCCTGAAGACAACAAAGGGAAATCACTCTTACCTTTCATTTTTTCAGATAGAGTAACATCCCTTAAAGACAACAAAGAGAAACCACTCTTACCTTTCATTAAATAAGCTAGATAGAGTGACCTCCCCTGAAAACAAAGGGAAATCACTCTAACCTTTCATTATTAAGTCAGATAAAGTAACCTCCCCTGAAGAAAACAAAGGGAAATCACTTTTACCTTTCATTAATAAGCCAGATAGAGTAACCTCCCCTGAAGACAACAAAGGGAAATCACTCTTACCTTTCATTAATAAGCCAGATAGAGTAACATCCCCTTAAGAAAACTAAGGGAAATCACTTTTACCTTTCATTAATAAGCCAGATAGAGTAACCTCCCCTGAAGACAACAAAGGGAAACCACCTCGTACATCTATTTGCATAAATAATCATATTATTTTAAATATATTCTAAAGAAACACGTTTCTCTGATGAATTCTCTATTGAAAAATGAGTTATGTGAAGTAAACCCTCATAACAAACAATAATTGTATCGGGACAAACGCACTGCGTTGCAATCAAGTCGACCGCCGTCTGCGTTGTGAACAATTTTTGTCAATTCTTCTATAAAAAGGAATAACAATTTTCAAAAGTTCCAAAAAATGGTTGTTTTGTGCATTTATCATACATACCATGTAATGTTTGCGTATTTAGTGGTCGTTTTGCACACACGTGTACTCTATCTAACCAAAAGTGGCGTCCCCTCGTCAAACTGTACATAAGTGATTGCACAAATGGCAATGAATTGCACCGTGTGCGTGTAATAAGTTGGAAAAATACATATATAGGCTCCAGTCTCACTACGTGTTTCCAGTAAAATTTTAAACACGCCTGATAGAGCTTATACCTCTTTCGGAGGTATACGGTAAATTGCTCTATCGCTACTTCCGAGCTAGTGCATGTCGCTAAAATCTAGTGTCAAATGTTTTAAATTTTTATATATTTTGTAAACTCCACATCAAATATCGAAATTCGGAGAATGCTATGCCATGAAGATTTGATTAAAGTTTCCAGAAAAAGTAAAGTTGTTATAATTGTGTTTGAAATGTAGTTGTGGCGGCGTTTCCCAGTTGGCGAATTCAGCGTTGAAATGGACTGTTTCATCATAGACCAGACACGAAAATAGCTCAATATCTCGTCGCGCAGTACAATTAGTTGGACTAATACATTATCATGCAGCAAAATTATATTAATATAAGACATAATAAAGTTTATTTCATGGGCGATTTTCCAGCAATCAAGTCCCAGAAGAATGGAAGTTTACAGCCACAATTAACAACATGTGAAACACGTATTTGCCTATTTCGTAAAGAGCTGCTCCGTTAAAGACAATACGCATTCACAGGGACGCTGATCATTTCAACTACACTATATGACAAGTAGAGATTTTGATGCTAAAGCATCAAGTCGCCGGATATCGACTGTATTATCATAAATATAAAAAAAAATCAGTTTAATTAATGGTTCAGGTATAAAGAAAAGAGGAAAAAATTATGTTGAGTAACTGTTTATTCACAGTAAAACATCATATAATTATATGAAGCAAACTTGCTTAGCAATATTGTCAAGGAACTGCTATGATTATTAGGCAAGTATTTCGTACGTTAGTTTACGTAACTTATTATGATTTATGCTAAAGATTTTATTGATAGTATAGATCTCGATATTGAATTAATTAATATTGCTCGATGGCCTACAGGTGGTAAGTATAGGACGAAGTTGTGACCTAGTAGGCCAAATTCGAATCTTTGAAAATCCCTTTTGCAGTTTTCATAAAACTATTTTTTGCGCTATCGAAAAAAATAAATTATTTAGTTGAAATCAATATTCCTGTCGTTATATACATACGATATAGTAAACGTTTAATTGCCTTTCAGTACAAAAAGATATTTTATTAGTTTTCTTTATTATGTATCTAATACGATCCGTCGTACCGTTTTGGTAACCTGCGCGACGGAAATCGACGGAATATAACGAAGACGACGATTACCACTTTTTATTTCAATAAATGTGCCTCTTTAGCATAAATCTATTTTGTGATGTTCAACCTAAACTAAGCTATTGAACGTTGACAGAAAGGGCAAAATTTAACCCTTTACCAAGATAAAATGAAAAGGTTTTGAAAATTTATTTAATTCTTTAATGTGCTAATCCTTTCTAATGATATAAAATATGAAACTGATTAATGAAAGATAACTTTGTAATTATTTATACATTTGCATCTAATTAGCCGCCATACCGTTTTCTTATCAGCAATCTGTTACTATTTATAGATTCTATAACACTAACATACAACGTGTAGTCACGTGATTCTTACAAATAGAACAGGGAGAATCTGTTTATAATTAGATAAAATAACGAAATATAATAGGTGTCATAAGATATAAACAACCAGATAATTTAAATGTGTCATTTTAAATATCATTCATGATTTATCAATTATAAAATAGCAACGCTTGACACTTAGAAAAAAGTAAAAGTATCCCTAAATTCAATGACTGGTCCATAGGGATACGTTATTAATTCATTTTATGAAAATTGTAATGTTGCTTTTTAAGATGTCAATATTTGTATATTTCATTTCATTGAGCAACGTTAATTTATTTTTGAATTTTTAAGATTATGAAAAATAATTGTGGTCCTTAATTGTTCAGTAATTGATTTGCTTTTATTTTCAGATTTTAAGGCCTTCTCCTACCATAGATATAATATTAAACTGCTACAAATATAGTCGCCGGTTTCTACCGGCGACTAATCAGTTGATCTATACAATAAATATTTTAATTATACAATATATATTTTCAAATATAGAACATACATAAAGAAAATTATCGCACATAAATATTTTTATGATGAATAAATATTATGGTATAGAATATAAAATTAGTGTTAAACAATATGAATATTGGATATAGAACAAAAATTTAATTTATTGAATATTGCAACGTTCAACATGCCATAGTTTTTTTTGTTTATACATTGTACACATTTGAAATGTGCGCCGAATGTGCACTGCTATAGACGTATAATAGTAGTTAAAGTCTCTGCCTCTCAACCTATGGCTATGTTGGCCCGTGTCGTATCAGGGAGACGACCATGTTTCCACCTGTATTTAATAGATCCCATGAAGTTGACTCGACATAAGCTTAAAGAGTACTGGGAAAACGAGGAAGCCATAGTTTGGACAAATCAAATACAGAATGATGGTTAATGGAGAATAGGCTGAAATAATTAACTAAGATTAAAATACGTTTGTTTTGTGACTTGTTTCGCTAAATGCATAATCTCATCGAATATTGTTGTCATTTCAAAGTAAATCCAACGCGATTGCAGCAAGTAAAAACATGGCAAACCCGGTTAAATCGTTAGCAAGCCTAGTGATATTGAAGCAAGTAAAATCTTGGCAAACCCGGTTAAATCGTTGGCAAGCCAAGTGATATTGTAGCAAGTAAAACCTTGGCAAACCCGGTTAAATCGTTTGCAAGGCAAGTGATATTGTAGCAAGTAAAATCTTGGCAAACCCTGTTAAATCGTTGGCAAGCCAAGTGATATTGTAGCAAGTAAAATCTTGGCAAATCCGGTTAAATCGTTGACAAGCCAAGTGATATTGTAGCAAGCAAACCTTGGCAAACCCTGGTAAGCCAAGTGATATTGTAGCAAGTAAAATCTTGGCAAACCCGGTTAAATCGTTGGCAAGCCAAGTGATATTGCAGCAAGATAAACATTGACAAACCAAGGCCCTAAAAACAATGCACTTAACATATTTCAATTGCCTAAATTATTACACTGTCACGAAGATAAGTTAAACATTAACTAGTCTACTGTATCATGAAACAAATACAATATGTATTATGATAAAACTTTCATTCGTATTTAAATGCCTAATAATTACGTACAACATGTTCGTCTTCAGGAACAACAACAACAACAACACTGAAGTGGACAATGATCATTTATTCTTATATACAATTTATGCATGCATACATGCTAGTTAAAGAATTGATACATTTGTACATTACATGTGTAAAACTATTTGGCATATTGTTTACAGACAAAAGTTATTGAACAATTAATTACAATTTTCTTAAAATTTAATCACGTGACTATGGTGGGCCAAATAACTAGCGATTGGCTTTTTAATGACGAGCAACAAGTGAGCAATTACTCATGAATGTAAAACAACAGTCCCTTAAAACTGAATAAAGACTAGTACTAACGCTATTCTTAAGTACATAGAATATACATGTATAGTTTATATAGATAGTTTATTGTATGTTCATGAGTACTACATGAGAATCTATCATTAAACGTGTGTTACATGATGATCATTGGTCGACAGACTATTTACATTCGACAAATTTCATCTTGAAACATCTCAATATACATTCATTTATTCTTTTTTTTAATGTTTTGCTTATTCTCATAAAATAATAAACGAGCGATGGGAACAACATCTATTCTGTGAATTAATACAGGCTTATTTCTGTGAGACAAAAGTCCTACACTTATGTATATAAATTTCTACTTTGTCAGTAGATCTATGTGCCACATATGAAAAGTAAAAATCATTGTAAATACGAGACATACGCATACGGTACATCTGCTTTCAGAATACATGTAACTTTGTTTTCTTTCTCCACAGCTCGTTGGAATTTTTATGCGTTTTCTCTTCTCAGAGAGGTAAATTTCATTTTCACTCAAGACCCCTTTTATTTATTAATGGAATTATACCTTTTGTCTGTGAGAAATAACTTATACTTCTCTCTACCAATATGAACTTTGTTTCAACTTCATTCATGCAATAAACTGAGGAAAATATATTTAAAGTGTTTTAAACAAATGCCCACTACGTGTACTTACATGTACACATTGTCTGAACAAATGCCCACTACATGTAGTACATATACATGTACACACAGTTTGCAGCATATGTAATATGATGGTGTCACGGAAATGATAACTGTATGAAAGATGATGCTTCTTGTTCAACAATGATTTCTCTAGTTTAAATGTATCACTATAACACATATATATTTGTTTATCTACAATTCTTATTTTTGAAATGTATCAACTTCCATGGCGTCATCTGAGCACGACTCCTCGTCGGAACAACCCGTGTCTTTATTTGATGCACGTAATTCACGAACCCGACTTGCAGTTAAAATGTCGACTAAACCACTGGTCGAAGTTTGTCTCGAAACAACTCGTGGTAACCCTGATGTAGACGTGTGTCTGCCAGTTCCGCTCGATAGCCCGCTTGTTGACGTCATTCGAGATAAAATAAATAACCCCGTAGTTGACGTCTGGCGGGAAATTCCTGAGAAAATATGAAGATAAATGTTTGAGACAGAACAAACAAAAAGTGTTATCAGCATGCACTTCTTTGCACACATAATTCTAAAAATATCTGCTACGTTTAATAACATTTGTAAGTAAAATGTACATGATAATTTTGTCTGGCCAGTAACGTTAGTTATAGATCTACTTAATTTCACCGGAAACGCTTACTATATAGTACTATATGTATATGTAATTTTACGTTTTATTCACATGTCGAGTTGTGACGAGGATAAATTTTTAAAAAGTATTTAATTTTGGGATTTTTAACTACGCCAATAGTAATCTCTGCTCATTGTCTATATTGACCCAAGAAAATTGAATTTTGTAGTGGACCTCTTGGCATTGCTAAATGCCATACATCTAGACAGTCGAGAATTTTAAAATTTATTCTATACATGTACATTTAAGACTTACCACTAACAGAACCTTTTCACCAAGGGATCATAATTTAATTAGGAACAAGAACCTTTAATTTAAATGTGTTTTCATGGTCCATAAACGACTGTTCTCAGACATTATCTAATTTATTTCTAGATTTTGGGCTTTGTTTACAAAGTCTCGAACCATTTACATATAATTAATGTTAAAGTTTGTCAAAATTTACATGTGTTGTTGAACTATGCTGGCCGTAAACAGAATTATATGTCAACAAGTTCTGCAAAAGTAACGCCAAATGGTGCAAAAACCGAGCAACACGACAAGTAAACACGACAAGTAAATGGACCAATATATATTTCACAGCAAACCAAAATTAAAGAAATGAATTAGCGTATACATATATACGCCAGCAGTCGGTTAGTATATCTTCTTTTTTTCTCCAATAACAAAAGTTTGCCAAATTATAAATTCGTAATAAAGCTTTTTGGCAGGTTATTTGGCCGAATATAAACGGTTGTTTTCAATAAAACCCTCGCCTGGTGGCTCGGGTTATATTTACAAACAACCGTTTATATATCGCCATATAACCTGTCAAAATCTTTATAACTAATAATATGGGTGTACACGACTGCTTTCAATTGATTAAGTAATGCCATTTTTTGATATATAACAATTATGCAAACAATTATTTATATTATTAGTTGTGATATATGGGCGAATATAGCCTGAATAAGATAAATGGCACGAACGTGACACATTGAAGGTTCCATGATAACCGCCGTTCAAGCTGGTGCTAGAGGGTTTGGACGTTGCTTGGACTTTCAAGCACCACGAACAGACTCAAACAAAGCGAGTTTCGACAATTTTCTATTTTGTCGTTTTGGGTGTTATTTAAGGATTCTGTTTTTCGCTATTTTAGACTTATATAGTTAGACTTGAAATAAGCGCTATTTTATTGTCACATTAGTGTTATTTGTGCAATGATGGAGGTCGTTAAAAGTCGCCCGTATATTTTATCAAAGATGTTACATTTCCGATCCTTGAAGATTGTTCAGCAAGACATAACTGTTGTGTGTGAATGTTGTAGTAATTCTAGTTCCTTCAAATTTGGGTTTCAGTATTTCCACTCGAATATTGTATAATCACCCCAGCCTTTAAAAATGTCTTTTGATGTCTTGTCTGTGATATGCAGGCCTAAATTAAATTTATCCTGGCCCCCTTTCAAAATTTCATTTTATTTAATTCTATCCATTGTTTTGTCATTTAGGGCACACGCTTTCTTTTACGATGATCATACTCCTCTCACGAACGTGTAACTTAATGTTTCATATGAATACATCTGTGCAAGTTTGTCACCATTTTGCTTAAGGGAGCTTGGGCGGTAGCTTAAACTTTCAAGTACCGTCCATGAACAGGGCCTGCCACGTGTTAAATATTGTCTTTTTGAGCCCTTTTTAGAGATTCTGTTTTTCGCTATTTTAGAATTATTTTTTAAATTAAATATTCGCGGGAACAAATAAGGTGACGTTAGAAGTCACCGGCTACCTTAACGCTGCGCAATAAAAAAAGTTACATAGCGGTGTAACTTTTAAACTATTTTTTAAATATTGATAAATATGCCATGGACAAAATGCAATAATGTAACAGGCTACGATTGCTACTTTTGCTAAAACTGTTAAAAGTGCAAAAGAATATAGTGTACTGGCATGCGAGCAGTTCCCGTACAGAAGCAGTACCCGTATTTTTCATTTAAACGCTTGATTTTTACTTGCAATCTTCAAACATTCATTTCAAATCAAGCAGATGCATAAAAGAGACAAAATCTAAGTGTCAGTTCGGCAGTACGCATAAAAGTCTCATTTTAAATCACTTTCACCTGTGCGTTGTCAAAACGTGACCTTGTTTTCTCTGGGGGATTCCGTCCTTGCGCGCATGCGCTAAAATACTTACACGTGAGGCCTGTTAAAGGGTTTTCCACTAATACCACCTGTTTACAGATAAGTAGGCAATGTGGTGAAAACTTGTTTAATTATCAGAATTTTGATCAATATTACTTTATTAAATAATTTTATGGCTCTGATGCGTAAAATATCATGCATACAAGCATGCCATTGCATGAGAATGCGTTGGGGTAACGGTACCGGGTAATTGATACCAGCGTTTAGTCTACGCTCTATTTCCTGAATTACATCTATTTATCTCTTAGAAAATGGTCTGTTCAACAATTATAATTGAAAAATAGGTCCGATATAACAAAATTGTATAATTATAATGGGTTAAATTTTATGTACGGGAACTACTTCTCTTCATACAAAATAATGGATAATTTCGGTACCCCATATGAGGCCTCATAACTAAGGGTTATTCTATGTTTAGAACATGATGGAATTTCCATGATTTGTGTGACGAGCTGAATAGTGATGTGTAACATTAAAATTTTGGTGAGTGAGCGTAATAAAAAATAATGTTTAAGTAACTACGATTTTTGTACGGGAACTGCTCGCATGCCAGTAGTGTCTTTGTGTGTGTACGTATCGCGTCAAAATAGCCCGATCAATGCCTTTAAACGGACTCGTAAAAGCGACAGGGGTATTTGATAAATCTTATACTTAGCATTGAAGACCTAGTTACTATCAGGATGTACATTGTAATAGTTACTATCAGGACGTACATTGTAATTACTTTTCTAGCTTCTTAGAATACATTTTGCTATTATGAGAGAGTGAAGAGTTTTGATCTTTTCTGTTACTACGCAATTTTCAAAAATGTTTCATTTAAATTATTTAAGTCAGTTCACCAAACAATTTTTGTATAAACTACTATTATATTTAGGTAAGATTCAGCTGTATAAATGGCGATACTAGTTGTTTTATTATGTTGGCTTTCTCAGCTAGACGACATATATAGTATTTACTTCATTTACATGCTCAGGTTTATTTTTTACGACTTGTTTTCTCATCTATCAGCGTCGCTTAAATGCAATGTTTTTTTCAGGAATTAGATTTCATACATAGCCTGAACTAACATTTGACAAGATAATTTTCTCCTACAACAACCACTAACAGACTAATTTTTTGAAATGATGGTCAGTTAAGAAATTCCTTGTATTTTCCTTTTTTATACATATTTTTAGAAAAGCTGCATGGTGCTAAAATTCTAACAACGTACAGTTGAGTTCACACTAAAGGTTACACAAAGTGCACTAGGAGTGCACTAGATGTGCACTACTAGTGCACTACAAAGTGCACTAGTAGTGCACTACTAGTGCACTTCATAAGTGCACTTTGTAGTGCACCAGACCTATTATATGTAAGCAGTTATCTACTATTTCAAAGAATAGCAATTTGACTTTTACAAAAAGATAGAAAAATATAGATATCTGTATAATAGTTTTCCATAATAAATTTGAAGTTGTGAATATTGGATTTTGTAAAATATGGCATAAAATATTAGAACAATAATTGTTCAAAGTCATTAATTTTACTGATTTTGTACTTTATAACTTAATTGTTAGAATAAGTAAATATAAATAATTATAACTTTAATGTTAATAAGTTAGTGCATAAATAAACAAAAGTAATAGATATTTATTTATTAATATTTGATTCTATTTTATTATAATCTGGTAATGAAATAATTATGAAACGTTGAAATGTTAAGAAAAAAATTCAGTCATATTTTTTTTGTTTTTTTTTTTTGGGGGGGGGGCAGGGGGGGGGGGCAAATTATACAAATTATTTTTTTTTCTTATCTTATAATTGTTTTAGTTAAAGGTTATGATTTTAAGCATTAGTAGCCTTTAATTTAATATGTTTATAATTGGCCTAAATTTTGTCAATTTTATGTAATTTAAAATCTCTCTTACCGTCTCAAACCAAGATTTACCTAGGATTAATATAAATGATATATATTATTCTGAAAATAAAAATATTTACATATAATGGTGGTATGTATGAATTGTGGATTAAGTGGATATGTACCTGTTGGACACTAGTATATTTTAACTGACATGGATATTAACAAAAAGATTAGAAAATCTTTCATTTCCATTTTTTGAGACAGCACCAATCTTTTATCTTTTTTTATGCATTGTAACATAATTATGCAATATGATTACTTTATGAGTTCATTATAAAATGCTAAAATATTTCAGTTTTCTTTTTTCTTCTTGTACTACTTGTAATGAAATTTATTTGCACATACAGAATTTACATTGCCTACTTATATTTATCATCTGCCTTTTGTTATTTACCCTAAGGGGCTCTCTTATCAGCAGGGTACTATAATAAAATACCAATACACAGCATGACTTTTGACACTTTAATCTTCTGTAACTGTCTTCTGCTCATGTATGATATTTTATTTTAAAAAAAAACAACAAACAAAAACAAACAAAAAAAACAACAGATTTGCATTAAAGATAAAAAGGAGGTTGCAAAGGTTTTATAATCATGTATTTAAATATTTAAATTTTCTTAAAAATATGTTATCTTCTTAATGTGTTAAAACTGACAAGGCAAATTTGTCAAATCTAAAATAGAAAAAAATAACATTTCCGAGTTCAGAAACTAAAAGATGCTCAAAATTTTAATGCAGAAT